CCCATAGGGCAGTCTTTCAAAATACCGGTCTATAGGTGTAGGACACCTTTTAGATATCGATTTGTAGGGGTTGCTAGCGGCCCCAGGTCAGCTTTACCCATAGTATCGATTGTGGAAGCGTACAGATTAATATTCTTGCAACAATTACCGGTTTGTGAGCAGCCCGCAGGGCAGTGCTTCCTCCAATAAGTGTGACTGGCCAGTGGATTTTTTTTTGAACGACGCTGGGAGGGGGGCGGGGAGGAAGAAGGAAGGAAGGCAGTTACGCAAGCCGAACTATGAGCGGTACACAGAGCTGTCTTTTTTGAACATCGGTTTGTAGGCGGCTTTTAGGGCAGTATTCTTTTTTGTAGTAAACATTCTAAAAACGTCCTACAGGACAGTCCTTTTTTTTATAATATCACTCTGGCCCATGGGGTACTTTACCCTCAGGTATGATTTGTAAGCTACTTGTAGGGCAGTACTTTCCATTTATGGGCACAGATCTCTATGCTACTTTCATTAGTTATAAGCTCGTAATTTGAGTGACTATTCTTTTGCATTCAAAAATTTGCCTTGAAGAGCTGTAAGCGACTCTTAGGATCGCTAGTCTTTCTATCATGAATAGTTGTTATATCCGTTTTGGTATCTCATAACATTGCTCTCAATCATTACATTCATTTCTACAATTTTATACGAGTGTAATGATGCTCCTTCACCGGATCTGGAGTATACGCGCCTCCACGCAATTCACATTGTCCCGTTCCACACCTCCGAAAACAATACTATTCGTTGTCGCTGAATTGCACCCTTTTATCGTGAGCATAAGCGTACATAGAATAAGCAAGAAGCAATGCATGCTGCCTTACATTTTGTAGGATCTTTCATATCACATGTGACAGCCTGTGCGCCTGTCACTATACAAATAGGATAAAAAGTACAGAAATCTTATTTCTGTAATTAATTTCTGTACGAAATTTAGTTATCATGTTGTTACAAACTTACAAATTGTAAGTTGCAATAATGCTCAGATATTTCGCAAAAAATCGCTTCTCAGTGCACGCTGTAACTTACAACGAATCTTAAACTGAAATCAAGATTTTCACACATCCTAACGTATCATGTCTCACTGCCGTGAGCTGCCAAGACTCTATATAACTACAATAGCATTTTCGGCTAAATGTGATAACTATTGTGCACCATAAACATCAAAAAATTTGTTATTCGAAATATGACGGTTTTCATAATTTGCAAGTATCACGACTAGGAACGACGAGCAATGAAGAGACAAGCTTTTGCGTCCTCGAGAACTGAAAAAAGGCACAAAGTATTGATTTCGCGGAGTTGCCGCGAAGAATGTACGTCGCAATTTTTTTGGAACTTGCATCTATGCATTTGAATGAGTTTGCACAGCGCTTGCTCTTTTATATGGAATTTGAGGTTACGGAGCTGATCATAAGAGCAAAACCAATCAGTGTGATTATTGCCTTTCAAAGTGGTCACAAAGAATTCGAGCACACAATATTTTGTCCTCTACAACAGGGAAGCAAAAATGATTAAGACGTTGTCGAAGCAAATTTTCGATGGAATCTGTTAGCAATCGCTAAGGAGCTTGCTGTGATTAATTCTCATTGACACTGAACATATGATCCAATAATTATTTTTTTTACATCACTGAAGAACACTACTTAGCTCCTCTGGAAAAAAGTATTGTCATCAAATCAAGGATTCACTACAGAAATCATAATCGGCTAAAAATCTGGCTGAAAGACGTTAACGAAACATTTGCCATAACCAGATATATAGACGAAGATGATCAAAATAGAGTTCCGAATCATGAAGCATACAGAAATGCATGTGATCTAATGCCCCTAAAGAAATGAAAGCTATGAGAACTAAAGGAAGGTGCTGCTCGCTTTTGTAGCGCAAAAAGCCAATTTGTTTTGCCGTGTCTGGTGTGAGTTCAGAACAAGCATCATGCGCGATAATTATAACTTGGTCTTGTATTTACATGTTTAAACATAAATCCACAGCGTGTTACCAAAAAAGCCGCAAATTGTGAAGGGAAGTGAATTTTGGGCGTTCATTCAACAAGATCTGAGCAAAGTAAGTATCTGCATTTGCGATACTTTGTTTGGAAAACATACGATTTTTTGACATACAACTTTTCGGTAACAAAATAGTCTTGAGCACTATATTTCAAAAATTCAATTCGGTTTGAGCATTGCAAAATTTAATTGATGGTAATGCAACTGGGGTAACTTAATGATTGTTGTATGATTAAACAAAGACTTTCTCCACGTCGATTGGCAAAATGATCTGAAAGCCCCGAAAGCATTGTAAAATTGTCATTCGACACATTTGGTCACAAGCAACGGACACACTTAGTCACGAGTTGCAGACTTGGTTTAAGAATTAACAGATTTTTTTGTCACAGTATCTGTCAAGAGATTTTATTTATCTAAATCTTTAAAGCTAATTACATATAAGCGATTAAAAGAAGTACTTGCATATGACTGTTACAGAACTTCATCTACAAGAGTATATAAGAAAATTGTATCCATGTCGGTCATACGCTCTCAATTTTTCGCTTTAAATGTTGCTGGGTTTGCTTTCCACGATATTCCTTCTGAGGCCGCAGGGGTATCTCTCAGTATAAGTCATTACACCCAACAAGCACAACTCTATTTTGCAGCCGCTTTACAATGCCGAGAAAAGGCACTATGCGAGAGTCAACAATAAATTTCTCTTTTTTTTTACAATTTCAATACTTTGCTTCTTGGCCAGCACAGAAGCACTCACATGTGAACTCTACGATTTTTCAAGGAATGCAGCTTCGCTTCATGCAGAGTTGAGGTAGATGCTTTGAGAGCTTGCAGATTGGAGCACAAAAGTTCTTGCATGTAATGCAGGAATTGTGACAATTGAGTGATTATTGAAACGACTTTCCTTCAACTTCTCTCCTCTTTGCTAGATTCCGAAAAACAAACGGGTCCCGGCTTTTGAGAAAAACGCGCTTCAGTCAAATAACCTGCGCAGTTGGTGTGATCAAAGGGAGAATCGTGAAGTCAAAGCGGCAAAGGCGCAAACATTCACAGAGTGTTTGCCACTTTTGTCCCGGCCCTAGTTCACATTTCTGGCAACCCTAAAAATTCTATTCGTAACTTTCTATCACTGCTGTGTTTGCAAGTTAAAAAGTACCTCAAATGCTTCTGTAAAACGCATGATTATCTTTTTCAGACGAGTTCAAAATTTTAGAAAAGCAAATGATTTGGAATATAACAAGCTATAAACTTTTTAAAATGGTGCTAACAGATCTGCGAGCCAACCTAATATTTTCACGGAAGCGTTTCTTGGCATGTACATCTCACTTCAAATGGTTTCTGCTTCTACTCACAGTACTTTTTGTGAATTGAAGAAAAGGCAGACGTAGGTGTCGTAGGTGTGAAACGAATTCAGTGGTATAGATTTTACCAAAGCTATCCGCTTCAAAATTTTCGGCTACTGCAATACAGAGGGAATAATTTAGTCAAAAGATGCCAAATGCTCATAAATATTGAAGCAGTTGAAAAGTTTTTTATTCACTTTCGCCCTTTCACAGCACACTTCAATCATTCTTGTTATAGTCACCCCACCCCCTCCCTCGGTTTATGTTGGGCGGAGCATTTGCAGACATCTGAACCCGTTGATAAACTTATACACCCTCTACTGAAGTTGCTTTCTGTAATCTCTCGCTAAGAACTCTGCCACTTATGACAAGATATATACGTGGCAGTTTAGAGCAAAGAACTATATTTTGTATGTGTTGAGATTGTCAAGATTTCTTGAGTCACCAACGCTTTCAACCTGTCTGCAAACGCTCCGCTCAAGGTACATTGGGGAAGGCAACGATACTAGGGGCGGTATTTATCAATCTCCTATTTAGAAAGGGAATTCCTGTACAGGTAACAGCCCGTACGAACACGGCACTGGCGCCTGCGACACACGAAGCCAAGCTGTCTATTGGCTCCTGTCTATAGGCGAATATGGTCCGATCTGGCAAGTTTGGGCATGCCGGGCATGCCAGTCTCTCGAGATTCCGCTCTGCTGCCCGACATGGCCAACCTTGTCAGATCGAACCACATTCTGAAGTTGTGAATCATGGGAGATCCCTCGCCTGTTCGGGCACTCGTTAATAATAGCCCGAATTGCAAGATGGAGATTATAATTAAATCATTCAAATCTATAAAATTACTGGAGCTCTGATGCATGGTGTGCTATGAGATCCAACTTGGAAGTGCATACTAGCAAGATATTTAGTGTACTGATTCCAAAAGATGCTCACATTCACTGGAGACACAGTAGATGTCTTTGAACAACTAGTTCCTGAGAACGTGGCACTAGATGTTTGCCAGATTTGGACCTTTAAACGCTTATAATCTTTTTCATAGTCCGGTGTCGCAGATAAGGAAAGTAAGTTTGGATCAAGGCAAAACTTTTGTATACTGCTTTCAGCAACTCTTTGATAGAGGAATCATCTCGATTGAAAAAATTACGACAATATTATAGACTCCTCAACCTTCAGTTATTATCTGATCAACCTCTTTTTCATTTCGTTCAAGTCCTCCTTCTGTGCATAAACATGTCCACGCAAAAATGGCAAGAGAAGTTGCTAAGGTTTGCTGTGGCTCAAAAATAACCCAATTAATAGTCTATAGCTTAGCAGAGTCAAGGGAAAATATTACCAATCGAGAACTTTGGGTAGAACTTGGTTAAACGCAAGCTTTATTTGCTTCTTTTCTGAAAAGGCAATTACCGATATTTTTTTTGAAGAAAGTACAGTTGAGCAGGTGAAATAGTTGATGACAGAGTTGTGCATATTGTGCACGACTTTATGATGTTTTATTTTTGACTTATCTGCGACATTGTCTCTTACAAATGCTTAGGAATTACATAGCAGAGAAATCAAGGTTATTGTAAGCTTGTGTTTTCCCTTGTACTCAGAAGATCGTTTGTTAGTAGAGGACTGCATGTCGCTGAAAGTGGGAGGGTTTCGAGGATGCAGCAGATATCAGCCTGTGCATGTACTAAAAGGTGTATTTGTGGCAGATGTCCAACTGGACCTCCCATTTCCGGCGACATATAGTTCCATACCCCATTTGTTTCTCTGTTTTATGTCAAAGAAATTCGTTTGTTCGTCGTTTTATCAAACGCTCGATGTACCGCTTACTTTCTCCTAATACTTTTTTTCCAGAGACTTTACGTCAGTTCGACAAGAATGAGAATTTTCAGACTTACCGTCTTGTTACTTACCCTCTTAGTGGTACGTTGACCAAGCAAGACATGATATAGTTTACGATTTGACTCCTGAGACTTGCTGACTTTACATTACTTTTAATGCTTACAGATTCTCTCTGCTGTGGACGTTGGTGAATGCGGGCTTTTTGGAGATATTTTGGGCCTCATATTCAAACCAATTGGAGAAAAAATAAAAAAATCACGATTTTTCAAAAAATTTAAAAAAGGTTTCGAAAAACTAGTAACATTTAATCGGCCAAACTATCTCCGGTCGATAAGGTACGGTCGCAGACCGAGAGCAATCAAAGGAGAGTGATATTTTGTGATCGATTGTCGATAAACTTTGGCATTGTGATTCAATTGTAATACAGTCATTAAGTTGCTGATCAAGGTTGATAGCAAGACTTTATTGCGCGACAAGCCAACGCTGGCGGTCCGCCCGCCTTCATCAGGACTTCCTGAAAGATTGAGACTTTGAGAACTGCCTGCTCAAAGCCCTATTCGGCAGTAAATTCAGTCTAGCTATTCTGATGGAGCAGCGAATAGATGTGTAAGCCTGATTCAGCCTTTTCAAATCGGAATGTAGAGAACAACAACCAGTACTGCGCTGCTGCTGCACTATGAGTGAGTTGATAGTCACTATCAACAATGCCCTCATATGGTTATGTAAGATCTCGTATTAGAATCCACACAGTGTTTTATAGGAAAACAGTTCAATGTTTATAGTAATGCCTTTATCTTTGCGGTTCAATGTTTTGAGGCCATTAACTCCGATTCGTGCGACAAGATCGTAACAGTGACTTGAAAGTACTGTTCTCACGACATAACTTTCGATGTGCACCCAAAGGTGTGGACATTTTGAATTTTCTGAGGCATCGAGATGTTTTGATTCTTGTGCACCAGGGTCTGCCAATCTTTCTTATTAATGGTCACCGCATTTTTCACAGGTTATAAAATATACACCCCATCCATGCAGTCGCCTGATTTTAAAAAGCTCAGATGCTATTAGGTTGTCCGGAAATTAATGCCCGTTTTGAATTTCAACCGCAATAAGACATACACTTCTCATTTCTAAATAGGTTGCAAGGTATGATTCGATAGAGCAAAGCAAGCTCTACAAGAAGGTGAACTTGCTTTGGCAGCAGCTTTGATATACCTAGAGTTTCAAGCCAAAAACTAAAAAGATTCAGCTGCCCGAAAAATAGAAAAAAATCGCAACTCAATTTATAAAAATCCTACAGAAATTCTAACTTGCTCACGGAAACACTATCCATATAACACATCTACATAGGCTTTTGCCGCATTTTTTCTCTGTTAGAAACCAAGAAAACGGAAATTTTTCTGCATTTGCCAAAGTGACGCTGAGCCATCCCCACATAGGTAGTTGTACACCACAGGCCCGCAGAGATACAGACTTAAATTTTGAGCTCTCTACAAGCTTTAGTTCTCGAGAAATTTGAATTTTAGCTTGGACCACCTAACTAGGGAAAGCTATATTTGGCATTTCTCGAAAACTAAAGCTTGTAGAGAGCTAAAAATTTAAGTATGTACCTCTACGGGCTTGTGGTGTACAACCACCTATGTGGGGATGGCTCAGCATCACTTTGGCAAATTCAGGAAAATTTCCGTTTTCTTGGTTTTTAACAGAGAAAAAAATGCGGCAAGGGCGTCTATAGATGTTTTATGTGGATAGTGTTTACGTGAGCAAGTAAGAATTTTTGTAGGATTTTTATGAACTGAGTTACAATTTTTTTCGTTTTTCCGTGCTGTTGAGTTGAGCTTTTTAGTTTTTGGCTTGAAACTGGAGGTGGATGAGAGCTGTTGCAAAAGCATAACAGCCATCTTGTAGAGCTTGCTTTGCTCTATCGAATGATTCCTTGCAACCTATTTAAAAATGAGAAGTGTATGACTTATTGCGGTTGAAATTCAAAACGGGCATTAATTTCCGGACAACCTAATACAATCGGCGATCGTGCACATTCTGTCATACGCTCGATTGCAACGTAGTTGTTTTCGAGATTAGGAGTGGGGATATCTATAACTGGGACGCAATCATCGAGGCCCACTTGAAAAAAGATTTTCTGATAACTCTGCTAAAATCATCAGATATGGAACACAGAACGGAATTTTTGTCTGGTTCATGTCGATCGATCTGCTTTCTTGTCTATAGGCACTGGTGCACTTTTTACGGGATTGCCGTTAGAATACGCAGTCTGGGCGCATAGGTGCGATAAGGTGAGAATCCTCCAGGGTGAAGGGTGTTCCACTTGGTAGAGAAGTTATAAAATGTCGACCGGGGGGGGGGGGAGAGGGGGGAGAGCCATGGTGTTCTCTCATCTTTTTTCTAATCAAAGTTTATAATTTTCATTCCCTTGAAGTCACTGATTGTCTTTTTTGTGAAATGCGAACCGATGTGCTGCTGGATTAGCACACAATTATATTTCTGATCAGCACCTTGTATTAGGTTGGCACATAAGTAATGCAACTTTTTATATAACTTTTGTCTCTTTGAATGTAGCGCATTCATTTTTTGGCAGTATAAGGACTATGGTGTAAGCTTTTAATGCACACTTTTTGGCGAATTTTCTCGTGTAAGGATTACGGTAGGTTTACGGTACTATGGAAAATTTTTTAGAATGCATCATATTCTGCTGAAACTTGACCTACAGGACTTATTCGACATCACAAAAATGAGATCCGTTTTGCATGAAAAGGCCTGGTTCATGAGATCAAAAAATGAATTCCATTTTAGCGACAAATGAATATGATATTCGTGTTCACAGCATAAGATTACCCTACAGTGCAAAGTTATAGCAAATTCGGACTTTTCGCAGCTTAGTTATTGACAAATTGCCTTCAAAACTTTTTACTGATTCCAATGTGTCCACTTCTAATTACATGCTGTTTATGTTTGCTTTTTGATATGTTTAATACAAGTTTCGTAGGGCTTCATGTTTGCCAAAAAACCGTGAAACCTCGATTTTCAGCAGTTTTCAAAAAATCCTTTGATTTTTTTGTAGTACGTTATCAAAAATTAAACGGATTTGCGCAGCGTTGCAGCTTACATCACGGTCTACATGGTGCCACAAAATGAGATTGCCACATAGAATAAGAGAAAAGTTACGGGAAAAGTTACAGAACTTATGTGCCAACCTAATGTTGTTTACACTTCCTTTTTTACATCACTCTGCCTGTGTTTGAAATTACCATAGAAGATGTGCATGCGAGAAGATCTGTTTCGGAAAGTGCTAGACAATTTTTAAGCATTTACGAATTTTCTAGGAAAAAAAATTATAACTGCTGTAGATGAACAGCGACGTCAGCAAGGAAGCTGTCTTCAAAACCATCTTGTCTTCCGCTTTTAGAGATTATATAGTTTGTCTGGAGTCTGTTGAAAAAGTGCCTGGTGAAGGGTGTGTTGGTGATTTCAGGAGATTTTCGAATTTTTAACATAAATAAATTCATAACTTTTGTAAGATGAACATCTTGTACGCCGGATGGTCACCATTAGACCGTCTCGTCCTCTGTTTTCAGAAAATGTATACTTTGTCTGGGGTCCGTTAGAAAAAGCGCCGGGTGAAGGGTGGGTGAGGCTTTTATAATGGGGGTGCTCAAGTAGACGTCTTTCCACAATGGTAAAAAAGCCTCTACTTGAGCACTCCCATTATAGAAATCTCACACACCCTTCACCCGGCACTTTTTCTAACGGACCCCAAACAAAGTATATATCTTCTGAAAACGGAGGACGAGGACGAGAAGGTTCCATGGTGGCCATCCGGCGTACAAGATGTTCATCTATAAAATTCATTAATTTTTTACGTTAAAAACTCGTAAATATCCAGAAATCACTACCCACACTCTTCACCAGGCACTTTTTCAACAACTCCAAGCAAACTATATGTTCTCTAAAAGCTGAGGACAAGTTGGTTTTGAAACATTTTTCTTGCTGACGTTGCTGTTCATCTACAGAAATTACGAATTTCTTCTTTTAAAAAAATTCGTAAATGTTTAAAAATTGTCTAACCCTTTCCGAAACAAATCTTCTCGCATGTACATCTTCTAGATTCCAAAAACAGGCAGGGTGACGTAAAAAGGAAAAGGAAACGTTAAATGTACAAGGTGCTGGTCAGAAATATAATTATGTGCTAATCCAGCAGCACATCGATTCGCATTTCAGACAAAATATAACCAGTAATGGTAAGGAATAAATTATGAACTTTGATTAGGAGAAATGATGAGAAAACATTATGGCTCTCCCCCCCCCCATCGACATTTTATAATTTCTCTACCAAGTGAAACACCCTTCACCCTGGAGGGGCTGCGACCACTGTCACCCTTTTCACCCTGGAGGAGTCAATCTCATCTTATCGCACCTGTGGTGAAGGGTGTCCTAGTGATTTTTGGGCCCGTAGTAATCCACCCTACCTGCCGGCGTGTCTTGCCTTCAGCTCGCCCTGACGTCGACCTGAGGTCGCCAGAATTTCAAACTCCCTGCGTAGAACCCCAAGCCAGACAAATCATCTCCTTCTGCTGTGATGGATAAGATTTTCTAGGTTGTTGATAAAAACAACGGTTTTAGAAAGTTTCATGCATCGTTAGGATCGTTTATCGTTCCTCGTTTTTTAACGCATGCTTCTATAACTGCATGTTAATCTGTAGCGAGTTTCTCGAAGGTTTCTTCCATGTTTATTGCTTTTCTGAACATAATTTGAACGTAATTCTCGGTATAATGGTGGCGTTTCTCATCTTGTTCGGCTCTCAGTTCTGCTTTTCACGTAGCGCATACTCACTTTCTTCTTCGTTGTTTTGCTTTAATGTGCGCATCTACTATACTTCAAAGAATTGTCGATAATTTATTGATCATCACTGGCGTTTATCATAGCAAATTCACCTACCCTTCTCACAACTGTTGCTGCAAAGGAGCTTTAACTTGATCAAAGGGTAAGTTTCAACTTATACCGTTTTGTGGTTAGTTGAAATCTCCAATAATTTCAGCTTTCTGGTTCCTCCTCTCTAGATCTCTGGGTAGGAACAATGCAATTACAGCGAGGATGAGTACGATATTACTTCTACAGCCACCGCGTCTTACAGTAATTTATACGTAAAATCAATTGTGTTGCGTACATTGCACAACACAATTGATTTTACGCCTAAATCGCCCAAACTTGGCGTCGTAGTGGAAAATCTTGTTTCTTTTTTCTTCTGATGTTTCTGTGCGGGGGACTGTTGTTTCTCGTTGTTTTGGTTTACAAATGTAACGTCCCCAGCACTCGCAGCTTGCACTTTGCGCGATTTTCCAATGCTTGGACAGATTTTTTTCCATTCCCCGGCTACGACACATGTCTCTAT